CTGCTCCTGTGTGTGATGACTATGACTTGGCGCCGTCTCGACCTCAAGACACCGGACTGCAGACAACCTCCACGCGCATGAGAAGGAAGCTGTGGGCCGCGTGGAGTGGCCGCCCGACTCGCTCTGCAGGCTGAGGTTGGAGCTGCCGGCGAGGGAGGGGCCGGCCCGCCGCCTCTGCCGCCGCGCGGGCCCGGGAGGGGCTCCACACCAGACGCGCGGGCCTGGAGGCTGCACCTGCCATGGCGGGCCGCTCGGGTGAGGCGCGGAGCAGGGCAGGGGCCGGGTGGTGAGGACCTGGGCCCCGGGGGTGGAAACGCGCAGGGGCGCAGGCTTCCCCGCATGGTCAGGTCTGCTGGGCTCAGGGTGGGCAGTGCTGGGCCCATTGCGCAGGTGGGGAAGCTGAGGCGCGGGGGTGGGGGGCGGTGCATGAGGGGCCCAGGCCCTGTGGGCAGGGGTTGCTGGCCTCCTGGTCAGGTGGGATTGCCAGGGGGCATGAAGCAGGGGCCCAGGGGAGCGTGGGGGCCTCCTCCATCCTAGGGAGGACTCCAGGGTGTGGGTTTGGGGCGGACCCGGTGTGTGTGGGTGAGTGGGGCCGAGGGCAGGTAGGCCAGTCTGAGGCCAGCTCTGGCAAAGCTCCTGGGCGGCCGGCGGCCGTGCTCCGGCAGCAGCCAGGAAGCCGGCAGAGGCGGGGATGAGTCAGCGCCAGGGCCACGGCCGGCCCCGGTGGGAGGCGCCCTCTGGTGGTTGCAGGGAGCCGGGGCCCTCGCAGAGGCGCTGGGTGGTGCTGGCCACTGCTGGCTTCCGTGCGGCCGAGAGCAGTGACCCCGGATGTGAGGAGTGGGGGGAGCCAGGCTCATGACGATGGGGCTCAGCTGGCCGCACCTGCCCACAGGCGCCAGGCTCTGCCCGGCCAACTTCTCCGCGGCCGCCGACCTCGTCCTCAGCGGCTTCCAGGATGGCTTCCTGTGGCCTGTGCTGGTGGCCGCGTTCCTGGTGGCCGTGGCCGGCAACAGCCTGGCCCTGCACCGCTTCCTGACCCGGGAGCCACGGCCCTGGAACCCGGCCGTGGTCTTCTCAGCGCAGCTGGCGGTGAGCGACCTGCTCTACGCCCTGACGCTGCCCCCGCTGGCCGCCTACCTGTACCCGCCCAAGAACTGGCGGTACGGCGCCGCAGCCTGCCTGCTGGAGCGCTTCGCCTTCTCCTGCAACCTGCTGGGCAGCGTGGCCTTCATCACCTGCATCAGCCTCACCCGCTACTTGGGCGTCGTGCACCCCTTCCTCGCCCGCGCCCGCCTGCGGCCCAAGCACGCCTGGGTGCTCAGCGCCGCCGGCTGGGCCCTGGCCGTGCTGCTGGCCGCACCCACGCTCGCCTTCTCCCGCCTCAAGGGGCCGCCGGGTGCGCCCCGGTGCAACAGGACCCAGCCCGAGGCCTGCACCAAGTGCCTGGGCACGGCGGCCGACGAGCAGCTGGAGGCCTACAGAGCCTACAGCGTGGTGCTGGCGGCCCTGGGCGGCGGCCTGCCCCTGCTGCTCACCCTACTGGCCTACGGCGCGCTGGCCAGGGCGGTGCTGGGCAGCCCCAGCATGGCACGCACAGAGAAGCGGCGTGTGCTGGCGCTCGTGGCCAGCGGCGTGGCCCTATACGCCGGCTCCTACGTGCCCTACCACATCACCCGCGTGCTCAACGTGGACGCCCGGCGGCGCTGGCTCAGCCGCTGCCCGGACTTTGCCAATGCGACCCAGGCGGT